TCCTTGAGTTGCCCAGCCACAGCCTGGGATTGAACCCAATCAAATATTTCTGGATAAACCTGAAAATGTGCATCTGCCCCCATCCAACCTGAGCTTGAGAGGTGAACAGGTGAGGTGAAGAATGGCAGATAATTGCAAAATGCTGATGAGCAAAGCTTGTCGCATCAAACAAAAAAAAAAGACTTGAGGCTGTTAAGGTGCTTTAGCTAAATATTTATTTAAGGGTATGAATACTTATGCAATGTACTCATTTCAGTTTTTTATTTTTAATAAATTTACGAAGTTGTGACAATTCTGTTTTTGCTTTGTCAGTATGGTGTATGGAGTGTAGATTGAAGAAGTTTATCATAAGGCAGCAACATAAAATGTAAAAAAAAATGAGGCACTGTACTTATATTTTTGCCTTTCATTATTATATTATATTATAAAGCATGAACCCTTCCCCCAATAATGATCATGATGATAATAATATATACTTGTATTTTTGTCTTTCATTATTATATTATATTATATAATAAAGCATGAACCCTTCCCCCAATAATGATCATGATGATGATCATATATACTTGTTGTATTTTTATCTTTAATTATTATATTACATTACATTATATTAATCAAAGAACAATAGAATATATATGTGACCCATGCTGGCAAAATGAGTCGGAATGCTCACTGGCTAATTTTTATTATTTTAATAATAAAGATCAAATAAAAAATAGCTATGTTGTCATTATTAATATAGTTATTATTATTAAGAAAATAAGTGGAGGAAAAGATGCAATGTTGTTAGGTGATTTTGCTTTGGAACCTTCAGAAAACTTTAACTCGATTTTTCTCAAAATTGACTTTGCTGACTCTATCGAATTGAAACAGGTGTAGCTCAGTCTTTTTTTTTGTCAGATTCCAACAAATCATACATGGATGTGAAAATAAAATAAAATATTTTTTGAAAATTTGCTCATTGTGACTCATTTTTCCAGCACAGGTCTCACACACACATACTAAACTAATATTTGTATAACTAATATTTCTATCAGACTATAATGTTTAGCCATTTTTAACTACTAATTTAGCTGATAATTCAGGGTCTGTCTTAAATCACATTCAGCCAAGTCAAAGCACAAACCTGTCAGTAAAACAGTTAGCAAAACTGTGCGTTCAGTTTTTTGTCTTTGCTCTGCTTACAGTGTCGGTACGCCGTGTCTATGCTGATCCTCCCCATTACACTTGCTGATGCCTCGACGTCCAGACATGTTTTGACCTCATCCATATTGAGGTCCTGTAGAGTAGCCATGCATTGTTTGACACTGGTCACAGATTGCACTGCTCCACCGAGTTTCACCTGCAGAACAGATTACAAACAACAGAGACATATATGCGACAGACTGAGAGAAATAGTACACATTGATATTGATATATTTTGGATTACCTGGACAATGTAATGTGTGCCAAACTTTTCAACAAGTGAGAAGTAGCTTTCTTTTGTCATACGTCTCTGTAAGCCTCGTGAATTCATAGCTTAGTTCCTGATGAAGAGGAGAGTGGCTTCTAATGCTGTAGCTGAAGACAGTAGTTTATTGTGCTGCACATACAGTCAACCATAAACCATGATGCTCATCACACCAATTGACTAATATATGATAAGTCTTAACTGTAGTATCCGCAGGATGCAGACTATTTGATGAAGCTGAACTTGACCTTTTTGGTCTTTGTCATTGAATACTCAGCGAGTTTGGAGTTAGTTCCAGCCAACATCAGTGACATCTTACTTGCCACGTTGCCTATTCCCAGGCTGGCTTTCCAGTTGTTCTCTACGGAGGAGGTGCTGGAACTGACCAGGGACTCGCTGGACTCATAAACGCAGCTGGATAATGACCTTCTGCAGTTTTGGGTGGCCCTCAAGTAAATCACAGACACCGGGAGCTTCTGCTTTTTGTCCTGCATGAATGGGTTTTTTGCACAGGCTACACGTGTTGTTCTTGAGCTGCCACTTACACATGACGATGACAAAAGTGCCCAGGCGTTGCATCTTAGTTATGTCGAAATCTTCTCCAGTCAAGTCAGATCCTGGCACAAAATTAGCATCTTGACACTCTGCTTCTTTACCCAGAAAGCATGCTGGGCTGGTTGGAGGAGGAAGGTACAGAAGAAGCCCAGACCACAGGATAACTGGAATCATTGCGCGTTTGGATGTTACCCTGCCGTGATATACATAAATCAGAAATAAAGTTGAAAAAAACAATCACTGATTATTAGAGGACAATATTAATATTGTTCACTTCGGTGCATACATTATAATGTTCTTTGCTGATATTGGTTTTAATCAAAAACTTTGTGCAGGATTTGATTGGTGTATCCTGGACCCTTCCTTATGTAGAAATGTACTAACTATAAAATAAGTTTTATGTTTATAATGAATCACTTTATAGGCATGCTAGATTTGAGCAGTTTAACTTTCACTTTGATATTGTTCCTATGCAAAATCGATAAAATAACGTTAATGCATTTATGTACCACATGTGTCCAATCCCTGCAATGGTCAGGTACAAGAACATTCACACTTAGATGGTCACTGACTCATCATGTGTGAAAGAATGTATGTGAAAATGCATTGCCTTCCATTACATAGAAGGGGGGAATCTCCTCAACCACCACCAGTGTGCAGCATCCACCTGGATGATGCGACGGCAGCCATAGTGTGCCAGAATGCCCACCACACACCAGCTTATTGGTGGAGAGGAGACAGAGTGATGAAGTCAATCAGCAGATATGGGGATGGTTAGGAGGCCATGATGGTCAGAGGCCAATGGGCAAATTTGGCCAGGATGCCGGGGTTACACCCCTACTCTTTTTCGAAGGACATCCTGGGATTTTTAATGACCACAGAGAGTCAGGACCTCAGTTTAACGTCTCATCCAAAGGACGGTGCTTTTTGTCAGTATAGTGTCCCCGTCACTGCACTGGGGTGTTAGGACCCACACAGACCACAGGGTGAGCACCCCCTGCTGGCCTCACTAACACCTCTTCCAGCAGCAACCTAGTTTTCCCAGGAGGCCTCCCATCCAGGTACTTACCAGGCTCAACCCTGCTTAGCTTCAGTGGGCAACCAGTCTTGGGCTGCAGGGTGATATGGCTGTTGGCAGGACATCAAGGAATGTGGTTTAATTTCAGCAAAACAGGTAGATGATGTATGCTTGAAATATCTTAAAAAAGAAGACTCGTTAAGTGCCTATACCAGAATTTGATAAACAGTTGAAATGAATCTCCAACACAGAAATGGAGACATTTACATAATTACATGCAAAACTTAACAACCGGAGAAAGCAAGCTGATAGAAATCAAACTCTAAACATAGATGTTTGACACTTAAAACAGTCCTTTCAGGATGGAAGTTTTTTAACTTGTTTTTAAAGCTCTACATTTTTTAGCATGAGTGTACTGCTGATTCAGATCTGTAAATAATGCAAACAGTATATTGATGCATGCATGATGCATGTTTTTAGGCTAAAATGAATGCAAATGTATAAGGCAAACTGTATATCTTTGTTTGTTTAACCTCTCCATTTTTTTTACCATTTTTAACATTATCGCCTCAATTCACTAGTTTGTTTTAATTATGTTAAAAATACAACGACTTGTTTGCAGATTTAATCAAAAGAGGTCACAGGCCCAGATGCAGATAAAGTTGTCATCATTACTGTGGTCTGCATGGTTTGGTCTGAGCATCGTGACTCATAAAAAGAAACAAACTTTTCACACAGAGGTTGGAAATGTTAATTTAGGCATGTGTTATATTGTGTTGCATAAGTCACATGGATGTTAAGATACTAAAGAAATTAAAGGATTTTGAACTGCATACATAGTCTGTACTGTTGCACAATGCTAAAATAAATGTACAAGGAAACAAAATACACTTAAGTATATCACTTAAAAAAGATATACTAGTTATAAAGAATTATACAGAAAACTTAAAGCTCATTGAATGTCATTATGCCATCTGCCAATTTATAGTTAATGTGCTGCAGTTTGAGACATGGGTCTGCAGAGCCCCACACTTGTAATTATTGGCGTTACGCTTTAGTGAAGGGAAGTCCGACTAATTGTCTGCAGATCGGTTCTTTTGAACTGTTCGTATCAAAGAACCGGTTAAAATCAGCGATTAATTTACGTCATCATCATGTGTTTTCTGGCATACCGGCAAGTTATACATTTCGATAGCTAAAGCTATGTACAATATTGCTGTTTATTACGCTTTTTCAATTGTGTTTTTATTAATGTTGGTATTAATTTCATGTGTCCCACTTTAACTGCAGCTATGATCAGCGCTTTAAAACAAAATGTAAGAATCTAAATATAATTTGCCTTTAAAATAAACTATAGGCTAGTAGGCTACTAAAATTCATCCTGGCTGAATTTTAATAAAATATAGAGTAGGCCTAAACTGTCATTCAAGTGGTAACTAAACATATCCAGTAGGCCTACGTCGTAACTTTTGTTTATTTGTTTTATTCAATTAAAGTAATTTTGCGTCGCAAATCAAATACTCGGTACACTCCAAATCGGCTCATTACGAATCGGACAAGAGCCGATTCTCGGACAAATGACTCAGTAAGATTCACTCGGACTGATTCAGTCCGATTCGTAAGCGAATCATTTAGTTCGAATTATGAACGAATCGTTCAAACTCGGTTATGTTCAACAAATTAATTGGAAAGATCCAACTCGTTCAGAATCGGACATCGCTACTATCATTATAAATATCATTTATAAGCTATCATTATAAAAAATACTATCGATGTAAGACAGAGTGTCAAATAAGCTATTTTTATCGTGATACTACATTCTATATATATATATATATATAGATAGATTAATGGAAAAAATATCTAAAAGGCACAAATTGAATCCATCCTGTCTGCGCGCCTCCCCCTCGTCCCAGTTGGTCCAGACTGGATTAGCGCGCTGCAGCATCAGCGGATGATCAGGAGTGAAGGCCGGGCCGCTGCGCCCCTCCACCCCTCCACCAGCCGCATGCTCCCGCACACCGGTATCAGTCAGCCCGTGAGAAATGCGCCGGTGAATGTAGGGGATATTAATCTTTTTTTGGCTTAGCCGCTTCTCAGAAAAGGATCTCCTCACCAAAGCGCTCGTTTAAAACTCTGCTGGCTGAAATCACTGCAAGCTAGCAGCAACATCACTTGGCAACATAGGGGAGACGTGTTCCTGTGAGCTGAGCTGGCCACCACGTACATTCCTCCGTTCGCTGGATGACAAATGCCAAGCCTACGGATGGATATTTCAGTCGGAGTAGGAGGGATCGCAGGAATGCGCGTGCCGCTGTTTGGGAATACCGGTTGTGATGTTTAACCGCTTCTAAGACATTGACTGTGAAGCTCGCGTGTTCTTGCAGTCAGCACAATCAAGGTGACGGCAGCTAGCCCGTTAGCTCTCGAGCTATCCGGGTAGTGTGAGACAGGGAACAGAAAACGCACTTGATATCGAAATATCGTTATTGTTAAAATGAAAAAGCAAAGCACATAATAAGCGTGTGCACCTTTTCTTTGCAAGGTGCACTTCCTTATTGGATAATAGTGCTCGTCGCTAAGGAGCGGATGCCAGGAGATGCTTGATATTCTGGGAGAAAAACTTGACATATCTATAAAAATGTGATTATAGAGCATATCAATCTCGCGTGCTGTTTTACATCAGCTGAATATTTTAATATAAACCCCCTGTCATATCGATTCTGGCACTGTACTGTATATTAGTGAGTGCCTACTTATAGTCGGTGACAAGCAATATTGTCCTATCATCACTACATTAAACGCATACTGGTATTTGTTTACCCCCAAAATACACCTGCTTCGTTCAGGTCCTGTAAATGAGTCTTTTGTATCAGGTTCTTGCAAACACGCGGGTCTCACAGAGCGCTGGTATCTTAAATCAGAGTGGATGCCAAAGCTCCAGACGGATATATGATGGTGGTGATTCACTCTACGGGAATATGAGGAAGTTACCCTGAACCGAGCACACGGCTCCGCGTTCACGAAACCCCTGCTGCTCCCGATGGTGAAATTATTACCCGGCGGCTGTTTGATGAGCAGCAAACGAAAGCCACCTCTCCTCGGGTCGCCTCTGAAGTCGAGCTGACAGAAACTGGTGGGGTTTGTTTGAAAGGCTGGAGCAGGGTGTGACCGCACTTCGTTTAAATGTTACATGCAGCACTGTATATATCAGCGAAGCTCACTATGAACGCAGCCTGGAACTTCTACATCAATCCATGTGGATGACGCCGCCGCCGCCAACGTACGAAAACAAAACGTCGCTGAGGAAAAAGTTGTTTTTTAAAATTCTTGCGGCTAAAGAGCAGGTCTGTTAGCCATGTAGCTGGCTGCACATGACCGTGCTGGACTTCTCCGACTAATGTCTAGGGTGTCGAATCTTTTTTTAGTCTGTGTTGTGCGTGTAAGTGTAGATGTATAGCATAGTTATTTTAGCGTCGTCGTCGTGACTGTTTTTGGTTGCTATGGCATTTTTAAACGGCCCCAGACTGCTGGACTGGGCAAACTCTCCTCCACATTTACAGTTCAACAAATATGTCCTGACTGGCTATAGACCCATCTCCTCCGTCCAGGAGTGTATCAAGAGTCTCTTCTATCTGCACAATGAGCTGGGGAACATCTACACACACGGTGAGTGAGAGAGCCTATTGCTTCAAAAGAGGAAGCTGACAGTGCCCTCTCAATTTCAATTCAATTTAAGAGTGCTTTATTGGCATGACAAAAATTATACATTTGTATTGCCACTCTCTTTATGTGCTTTTGTTACATGTCACCTGCTTCATTTTTTGTGTCATTGTTTTACTTTTTTATTTATAATTATTATAAATCATTATTAATAAATTGCATTACATCAATCATGTACGTATGAGTTTTGCCCATCCTGGCTACTTCAGTCTTACCAGTCCAGTATTTGCATTTGTATTACCCATTCATAGCTATAGTCTAAACCCCATTTAAATGATCAGTGTTGCTATACCACCAGACACTGGAAATTATGTGGAAAATGTGTTTTTTTTTACTTTAAACCGCATAAACACATATCAATACACCAAATAATGTTCTTTTTAGCAGTATCATATGACCCCTTTAATATTTCCTATTTGAGCACTGTGTGTTGTAACTGCAGCTTACTGGCTCTTTCATAAAACTACATGTTAATGGAATAGTTCACCCCAAAAAAACAATTTATTTACACTCGTGTTGGTCTAAACACATATGACTTTCTTCTGGGGAGTTGTCCAGTCTCTTTCATGCAGCGACATCTTCCCCATTCATTGTCAAGCCTCAAAAAGCCTCAAGTGTGGCATAGTGATATGTGAACTGAAATGAACTATTTGCTCACTAAGCAACTTTGCTACTGCTTTCATGAAATTGAAAGACTTGAAAAATAGTGTATGAGTCTTGTGGATTAATGTTGTGATTAAATTACAGTGATTTTGTATCCTTTTAAAAAATAAATTTGACATCTTCAATCACCATTCAATGGAAAAGACAATAGATTCTTCAAAATATATCCTTTTGTTTTCCGCAAAAGAAAGTACATCTTACAGGGTTGGAGCTACATGAGTGTGTGATTTAAATTATGACAGAATTATCTTTTTGTTTTTTGTTTTTTTGAAAACTATCCATTTAAATGATTATATACAGCTACTCCATGAAATGCAAAGAAATGCATCTTTTTCTATACTCTCCATCCCACTCTGTTGCTGTGTACGTCACTATGTACTGCAGTTTGCTATACATAATTAATTGTTTGTCAATAACAAAAGGAGTTATCTTGTTAAGTAAAATATCACAGATGCAGTGAGCAGTATCTAGATAAGCATTTTAGTGCAATAGTTGCCAAGAGGAAATATAAAAAATTTTACATTTCTGATGTTTATTGTAAAGTGTCCTTGAGTTCTGGAAAGGCACTATATAAATAAAACATTATTATTATTATTATTATTAAAATCAGGCATAAAGGTCAACTCCAAAGTAATTTCCGTTCATAAACATGTAGGCTAAATTGCAGTCCTGTGTGGAACCATTGTAAAGTGTCCTTGAGTTCTGGAAAGGCACTATATAAATAAAACATATTATTATTATTATTATTAAAATCAGGCATAAAGGTCAACTCCAAAGTAATTTCCGTTCATAAACATGTAGGCTAAATTGCAGTCCTGTGTGGAACTATCAAGCTGGGTCATGTGGTTGCCTGCAGGTGTACTGTCATACATACCCTTTCCTTCCAAGAAACTGCCATGTGGACTGGTAAAACTTTAGTTCTACATTATATTGTTTTGATACCAAATGACACACTCAAGGTCCTTGCACACTGAGTCTGAAATTTTCGTATGCGTTTTTTCATATTCGTCATCCTAAAAATTTGTCACGCATAGAAACAGATGCGGACTCAGTGCAAGGACCTTTACACTGATGTGCATTGCTGAAAACCTAAGAAGAACACTGCATCTGTGCAATGCACTCTCAAAGTGTGTTCTCAAGCCAACGCTGTGGTTCAGAGTATATTTGAGAGTGTTCTGGCCTACTGTAGTCAAGTAAGCAGAAATTAGAGATTTGAAATGAATGACACAGCTTAACCTGACCCGAAAGATGACTTTGCTGTAGGGAGCTGCACCTGGTTATCTTTTTCTAAGCTGAAATAAAGAGGCATTTATTCTGTATGTGTACTGTTTGGATCGGTAAAAATACCTCCTTTTGGAGTTTGTAAGACAAGGTGACAATAAAGACTGATGAATGAAAATCTGTTGTGTATATTGTCACTTTGTTTTTTTTACATAGGGCGATTTCCATTCTTGCATTTGAACGCTACTGAGGTACATGCTCCTTCACTGTGGTTGCTTTGTGTTCAAGTATTTGTGTTTTACTTTGCATGATATGTATGCACAATTGTATCCCATGTTTGCACGCCATGTCTTCAGAGCAACATTTGATGTTCTTCATATCCACCTGTAACATCTGCTGTTTGAAACTGCTCTTTTCATCCTCTTCTTGAAACTTGACCATGACTTATAATCATTACTAGTCTGTTTCTGGTCTAACTACTTTAGCTGATGTCTTTGTATGTTTTTCTGGTCTGTAGGCTTCTTTAAACCACATGCTGTTTGTATGGCCATTAATGGGCTGTGATCTGACTGCAGACTTCTGCATAAATTAATTGACACTTGCACATACACCACAGAATTGTTCAAGGCACAGCTCACTCAGAAATGAAGAAAAATGTATCCCCATGCTGTTCGAAACACAAAATAAGTTATTTCAAGAAATGTCTCTTTTTTTTTTTTTTTTATTGTCCACACAATAAATGTCAGCGGGACCCAACATAAAAAAAAACATCATACAGGTTTGGGATGGCATAAAGGTAAGAAATGATGATAGAATCTTCATTTTTGGGTGAACTCATGCTTTGTTAAATGATGATTATTAGATTAGTATCCCCATGCTGTTCGAAACACAAAATAAGTTATTTCAAGAAATGTCTCTTTTTTTTTTTTTTTTTATTGTCCACACAATAAATGTCAGCGGGACCCAACATAAAAAAAAAACATCATACAGGTTTGGGATGGCATAAAGGTAAGAAATGATGATAGAATCTTCATTTTTGGGTGAACTCATGCTTTGTTAAATGATGATTATTAGATTTAAAAAAAAAAAGTATTATCTCAAGTTGAAATTATGACATTTATGTCATATACAAGATATGAAAATTCTAAATTATGACAAAATGTTTATAGAATTTTTACATCACGGTTATGACTTTCCGTCTCTTGTCATTATTTTGACTATATTATAATTTACCAAAGCATTATTTTGTCTTATGTGGTGGAAATTAGCTTACATAAACTACCATTTCAATGTTTGGATCTAAATATTAATTATAATTTTTGCCATTTTTTAAAACACATTTACGTGCTATTCAAATGCATAAAGATTTCTAGGGTAGAGTGCATGTTCTCCATCAATAGTGTCTTTATCAGAGCGAGTGTTGAGATGACTCAAAATAGATGTGCTAGAAGGCATTGGTGCTTTTACCTGACTAGGATGAATCATTTGACACTGGGAATGACAGGGGCTTAGAGAGAAAAAGAGATTCACAAACAAGAGGATTGTCTTTTCATGTACTTTGAGCCACTAGTAAAAAGTAGGGGTGTGCACAAATAGTTGAATATTCGATCTGTAATTATTATTTGATAAATAAAAACACTTTTTGAATTTTACTACGTTTTGCTTTGCTGGCCGTAAATGCAGAGAATCGATGATAAATCCTAAGCACGCAAATGAAAAGTTAGTTATAATAACTAAAAATGCTCTGGGGTGCGCTGTGGAGTGTGTTAACAAGTTGATTGTTTTCGAACACAATGTCATTGTCTGCCTCGCAAAGTTTGGAATCACTTTGATCAAAATGATCTTACAAAAATTTATCAAATTAATCAGTGAAACGGAGTCATCATAATATCGCCACCACAATGAGAAATCTCCAGCAGCAGTTTTAACATTAAGTGACATGACATCTGACGCACAGATGCCATTGGCACATGCCGCTATGCTCATTGATACTTCCGGTGACACTTCCGGTTTTCAGTGGCATGTGTCAGTCAGTGGACAGTGGCATGTCACTGTTGACACAGTTGACATGTCAATGGACTGCGTCTTGTGTCAGTTGCAACGTGTCGCACCTTCGGTAGTGACTGACCCCTGCCGCTGGGTGTCGCTGCATAATGTACAGGTGCATCTCAATAAATTAGAATGACATGGAAAAGTTCATTTATTTCAGTAATTCAACTCAAATTGTGAAACTTGTGTATTAAAAAACTGAGAGACCATTTTGAAGGCTCAGGAAACCTTTGCAGGTGTTTTGAGTTGATTAGCTGATTGGCATGTCACTATATTCTTATTTGTTGAGATAGTGAATTGGTGGGTTTTTGTTAAATGTGAGCCAAAATCATCACAATTAAAAGAACCAAAGACTTAAACTACTTCAGTCTGTGTGCATTGAATTTATTTAATACACAAGTTTCACAATTTCAGTTGAATTACTGAAATAAATGAACTTTTCCACGACATTCTAATTTATTGAGATGCACCTGTAGATTGCGTGACACATGCACTTAACGGCAGAATGATATTTAATTAATTAACAGTATGTTTCTGTCAAACATACGATTTATTACATCGCAGAGTTCATTTGTACAACAAAAACTGAGTTCCTATATTAAGATTAAAATGTGTCTTATGCCCCTTAATGAGTATTTTTCATTGTAAGTTTATTTCCAGTAGCCAGTTCCAGTTTTGTGCAATGCATTCAAATACATAAATATTTCAGCTGTATCATTTGTAATTACAAAATAATATAGGGACTATGCAGAGGTCATAACAAAAGAAAAAAAGAAACTTTTTACTCAAATGTGCCACCACTAACTGATACTTGCCAATCAGGTATTAGCCTACATATAATAAACTGATGAGAAAATGCCACAAACCATTATGATGTCTGTTATTCTAACGTGCTTCATGAAACTTACACCAACCATTCAGAAGTGTGCTTGACCTTGACACAGGCTTTTCACAACTCAATGTAATTTAAGTCTGCAACGTAATGTAAGTCTATGCTATATTAAACAAAGTTT